TAACCAGTCTTCAGGTTGGGTATATAACTGGAGGGGTCATGTGGTCATGGCAGGACTTGCCGAAGGAAAAAAAAAAAAATTTAAAAATAAACTACAATCAGATTAATATAAAAAAAAAATTTTTATTAATTAAATTAAAGTACTATGCAGCTAGTACAAAACCAGTATAATTACTTAACAAGTTTAAATTGCATATTTATTTAAAATAATATTTGTTAATAATAGTGCTTGAATCTGTGAACCCTTTATTTGGATATCTATAAGTATTATGGTATCTGTAGATATTATAGGCATCTATTGGTAAGTATTACAGGATTTATAACCAATATACATGTGTAATACAAATATAAATTAGATCTTTTTTCTGTTACTAAATAATAATATATAATAGATTTTTTTAAAAATTTTTCTTTTTTTGGGATCTTCTTATCAGGCTTTTTTTTCTTTAGTTTTGTCTTGGTTTTGTTTTTGTTTGCTTTCTAGGCAATATTAAAAGTACCTTTTGAGCTATATTCTAATTGCTGTTAAAAACTTTCTTGTATAAGTTGTTTCTAGGAATATACACTTCTGTGTTTTGTGTTTTGGGTTATAAATAGTTTAGCCAATATCTTAGATTCAAGTTTTTTATATTAAGATTCTTGTAAATATAAAAAAAAATGTTTAAACATTAAGCATAATGCTAGTCCTGAAAATCAAAAAAGTGCTTTAACTTAAAAGTAGTCAGCATACTCCTAAAGATAAAAAAAGCACTTTAATCTGAAAATAGCTATTATAGTCTTAAAGATCAAGAAAACACCTCAACTTAAAATAGCTAGTATAGTTACAAAGATCAAGCCCTAGCCTGGATTCTTTCTTTTAATAAATGTGTTAGACCTGCCTTTAGAGTTAACTTTGGCATACTTCTAAATATAAATATTTTATATTTTATTTGTAGTTTTGAGTTGTAAACAAGTTTACTAATTTTTATTTTTTTTGGATTTTTTTGAATTAGATTTTTTATATTTAGACTAGATCTTGAATAAGAGTTATATTTTTTTTTGCTATTATATATATAAATACAATTAATATATACTTTGCTTTTTTCTAGATAATAGTTTTTTTAAGGGTTGGGATCCCGCGGTCTAGTGGTCTAGGCACCCAACCCTCTATGAGCAGGTTTTGGATTCAAGTCCTAGTAGGTACGTTTACCTATGAATATTTGGAAGTATCTGCTGTGGGAAGTCCAAGTGAATACAAGTCTGAATTAGAAATTTCCAGAAGAAGGTCCATTGTGAAGTAGTTGGTACTATGTGTAATGATGGTTGTTACAGAAGGTTCTATTACACAAAGGTTATACGTATAAATCCGCGATTGGCAAGATAGCACCAACAACCCCTAAGGCGGCATTGGGGATCTTGTTTAGGAGGATAACCAGATAGTAACCAGAATTGGAAAGTGGTAAGAAATGTGGTGAATACAAAAGAACCTGTGGTAAAGAATTGGCCTTACCAGATTTGGAACACCTTTGGTACATACAGAACTCTCTGGCCAATAAGAAGTTGAAGCATGGAGACGTGTACGTGTTGATAAACCTAACAGGCTCTAGTTATACCTGTATAGGAGCCTTTGGCATTAAGAGGACTCAGGACCACCAATATAGGTATAGCTGGTATAAGCACATGCAGTGGTAACTGAAGGCTACAACTGCCGAGAATCACTATAAAAAGAAACGATGATGCACCTGTTACCTTTGAGCCTCATGATGCCCTCCAACTATACTGACTACTGGAAGCATTTGCGAAACATGCCTGGGTAGGCTCATCACCATATTGGGAAGTACAGTTGTTAGCACAAACCTAATTGGATGCGTTAAGACCTAAGTCCCAAAAGTCACAGAAAATTTAGCTAGTTATAGCAGTATGCAGGCTTGAGATACTTACCCATTCAGGTAGAGGCAGCTGCATGGCTTGAGATATGAACTCCTGGAAAGTATACTAAATAAGGATTGAGAGAGAAATCGTTCTGTCAGGCATACCAAACTGGAAACAATAAGCGCCTATCTGGTACACACCAATTTGGAAGTTGAAGATAAAAGGTTTGTAGGTAATGTGGTGGACATGTGAATACTAATTGGCAGTTGGGGAAGGATGTATAAAATCTAGATCAATTATATGGGGATGTTGACGGCTCTGGTGGGTTTTAGCTATGGATAAATAGTCTTAGTACTTGATGTCCTAGTCCTAGTTCTGATATATAATATATATGTATTTATGGCACTATCATATGTCAATTTATTTAAGTATTAATAAAAGTCTGGGGCAGGAGCTATACCCCAAATATTAAAAAAAAAAAAAAAAGAAAAGATAATAGTTTTTTATATTTTAATATTGACTTTGGATATTATAAAATATAAAAGTAGGTGGCTCTTTCAAGAATGTTATAGTTTTTAGTAGATATAATACTTAGATCAGAATTGTAACAAATATCTAGGTGTTGAATTATGGATAGTATGTTAATTCATGATCTCAGTAATTAGGTATATTAGGGTTAGGTTGAAGAATAAAGTTAGGTTAAAGGTTGGGTTGAATTAGTAGATTATAGATGCTTATAATAATGATTTTAAAAAAGTTATTCTTTTTTAAATAAAAATAAAAACTAAAATAAAAAAATCTTTGTAAAAGTTCTTTAATCACTCATACTATCTAACCAGGTTGCAAAAAATATAAAACCAAATCTCTCTTTACTGATTTTTTTAATATTAACTAGTCTATTAAATAAAATCCATATTCAGAAATTGTATTTTTATAAGAGTTACAAGGATAACTTATTCTATTAATGTAGGGTTCTGCAAACCTGAGTTTAAGTACTATTAATCAGACCTGTAGGGTTAATCAGTTATTTGTAAGGTTATCTGGTTATCTGGTTATCTGTAGATTTATCTAATTATCTGCCAAATAAAAACTAACAGTTATCCATATCTGACTTTTATAAAATAGGTAGAGTAAAATAGATAACTAGATATTTGAGTTCAAGTACTAATTAATAATTTGTTAAATTTATCTGTTTAATGGTTTAACTTTTATTTGTATTATGAAGAAAGATATTAGTTTATTTAATACAAATAAAAATAAATTAATTAAGGGCAAATCATTGGCTTGAGTGTTTTAATTATAGTATGCTTTATTTATTCTTGCTTAATCAAATAACTATTAACACAAAAAAAAAAATATTTATTCTCTAACAATTACAAATTTGATATAATAATACCAGGTATCTAAACTCTAAATAGATATTTTTGCTAAACTGATCATAAATTACAAACCCATGACTCTAAATTAATCTAATTTAACTAAGCTATTGAAATGTAAAAAAGCTATATAGTTGTAGTAAAAATTGGCTATATAAATTATATAGATATATATTATTTTACTAACAATTATTTTATTGATACTTCATTTTACTAGCAATTATTAATTGACATGTTTAATTTATTTTTATTTTTTTTTAAGAGGTCTCTCCTCTATAGTGTTACAGTTCTTTAATTATACTGTAACCCTAATTTATTAGATATAATGAAACTAGAGCTATAATTACTATCTATATCTAAGAACTACCTTATATAATAATTTTAAGTATCTTTAGCTTTAAATCTACTAAACTAGTGAAAACCTCATCTGTTAGATTTCTAGATTTTTGTATACCCACTCACAGTCCTTTAATTATTACAGTTACCAAGGCTTCAACATGCAGTTAGAGCTACCCCCTAAACTGCTATGCTTTTATAAGGTTTATATTAACCTCAGTACCTGCATTTAAATCTTTTATTAGTCTTTCCCTTACTCCCAGCTAATAACCTAGAAGGGTTGGTTTGTCTAGGCTTTAGATACCTTATAGTTTTCTCCTCTTAGTATATAATTTTGGAGTATATGTTCTTTTTCTCCAATGCGATAGTTCCAGCAATCTAGTTGGTAGGTTCTCTTGCCAGAGACCCCTTGTCATTTGGTTCTTTAATTTCAGCCCCTGTTTCTAAATTGGTCTTTCTGTAATACTATTAGAAGTTTCTGCCACCTCCTTATTCAGGTTTTTCAAATAGGTTTATATTATCTCAATTATCTAGATTTTCTATATACCAAAGCTCCTATTCAAGATGGTATATTAAACAACTAATCAACAGATAATATAACTATAATATAAACAATTTTCCAAAAATTGTCATCTGTGGAATTCAAACTCTTGATTTGCTACTTGGTGGGGTGATGACTAGACCACTTCACTAAACACCACACTCTGAAATGTTTAATTTATTTATTTAGTTTATTAAAAATTAATTTATAGATAGTTTTTGTCACATTGTGAAAAGCCCATATATTTAGTAAAAGATATGCAAATAGACAATGAACTATTTAGTGAGTTGAAGAGTATAAAAGAAAAATAGAAATATAGATTAAATAAGAATTTTTCTATATATCTTTGGCTAGAGATATATAGCTTATATATCTCTGGCCTTTTTGGCCAATCAAAGTATGAAAAAATCATATGATTAAAGTTCATGTGTTAATCCAATTGCTGATACAAAATTAGACATGCATCACCAATCCGAATAGATAAATATAGATTATCTTTGATCTGTTTATTTGTTTTTTTTTTACTAAATTTTTTTATTTATTTTTTTATTAGCTTGTTATCTTTCTTCGTGTTGTTACTGTTGTTGCAGTTGGTGTCATTACTGGTATCATCATTGGTGTCATTATTGGTGTTGTCATTGGTGTCATTGTTGGTATTGTTGTTATTAAAGTTATTACTATTGGAATCGTCATAGGAGTCGTTGTTAAAGCCTGTGGATTTGTCATGGCTTTCATAATTTCATTGTGGTTTTCGCTTTCATTAGTACTTGTAATTTCATAGTGGTTTTTGTTCTTGTGATTTTACTGTAGCTTTAGTGTCATTGAGGTTTGTAATTTCACTATGGTTTTGGTGTCATTAATATGGTGTAGCTTTTTTTATTGTTGGTGCTTGTAATTTCAACTTGGCTTCAAGTGTGTTGGAGCTTGTAATTTCGCCGTGGTTTGGTGCTTGTGGTTTGTTATAGCTCTTTTTATTTTGGTGCTTGTGATTTTGCTATTGTTTAGTGTTTGTAGTTTTGTTGTAGCTCTTTTTGTTGTAGCTATTTTTGTCATTGATGCTTGTGATTTCACATTAGTTTTCAATGTGGTTTTCATACCGTTGGTGCTTGTGATTTCACTGTGACTTCTTATGTTGTTGGTTCTTGTGATTTTACCGTAATTATCTGTATTATTTGTGCTTGATTTTACTATAGATTAGGGATCAGGTTAGGATTGAGTTAGGTTAGAGTTAGAATAGGAGGATCTCTTCAACTTACCGACAATCACTTTGAAGATACCACATTTTACCAAACCCATTTTACTGACAAAATTTTTTTACAGACGATTAATTTACCAACATTTAATTTACCAACATGCTTGTTTTACCAACTTGTTAATTTTTATCGATACAAAATTCACTGAAAATCATTTTACAGACAGTTTAAATTTACAGACAAGCTTTCTTTATTGACACTAAAATTCACTAACAATATATTTCACTGACAATAAAAAGGGTAGAACTAGTGTTGGTGGTAAAATTATAGCTGTTTTCATAAATTCTGGAATACCCTAAAAAAATTTGCCAAAGTCTATTTGGCCAAAGTTGATAAGTAATTGATTTCGGGATTCAGTAGCAGATAATATAAGATACGTAATTTAATAAGATCAGGTGACTAATATATATTACAATATAGCAGTAAGACTAAAATCGATATTCTTTGGCATAATCCATTTTCACTTAAATGAAGCCTTTATTCATTTCTCGACAAAAACTCATTTTTAAAAAATTATGTAAAATTTCAATTCCTATTTTTTGGAAAAATCCATTTTCGCTCAAACGAAGCCTTTATTTATTTTTAATAATTTTTGACGAAAATCCAGGTTTAAAAAATTGTATAAAATTTCAATTACTATTCTTTGGCAAGATCCATTTTCATTCAAATGAAGCTTTTATTCATTACTAATTAATCTTTCGACGAAATTTTTGTTTTTAAAAAATTAAATAAAATTTCAATTAATATTCTTTGACAAGTTCTATTTTTATTTAAACGAAGCTTTTATTCATTTCTAATTATTTTTCGACGAAATTTTGTTTTTAAAAAATTGTGTAAAATTTAAAATTCTATTCTTTGACAAGATCCATTTTCGTTCAAACAAAGCCTTTATTTATTTCTAATTATTTTTTGACGAAAATTAGTTTTTAAAAAATTGTATAAAACTTCAATTCCTATTCTTTGGCAAGATCCATTTTCGTTC